AGAGAAATAAAAAGAATTTTCGCTTGTATTGTGGGGGGGGGTGAGGGGGCTGTGGAGTAACCAGAGAGGGTGGGGGGATGTATCGACAGCCCTACTAGGATTGATATATAATATAAGAATATATACATATATATATATATATATATATATATATTACTGAATAAGCTTCCAGGATTCTTGCGTAGATGGGGAGCAGATTATTTCGATAAATTAAATAAATGGATTAAAGTTTCTAAAATATTGTAGTGAGTACCTCCACTAAAAAGGTGGAGCAAAGACTCGAACCCGATTAACCAAGGATTCGCAAAACTTTACGCTGACCACTCAGCCATGACCGTCGCTGAGTGGCTGTATTAATTGCACTCTTAGATGCACTATTGTGTCGTCAGTTGTGCACTGATGTGCCAACACGTGGATGCTGGCTTTACTGAACCAAGCCACTTCTATATCGCGAAATATTCATTGTGTGCAAGTTGGGTTAGGGAAGGGCTGGCACTTTTACATGTAGTCTTATAGAGTTGTTCGGCAAATCCACCAGCAGTGGCCATGTCAACAGATTTTTTCCCATTTAACTTAACATGGAAAGTCTGGCAAAATGGGGGCAGCATTGAACTTGTACACAGCAAATACCAAGTTTTCTACGTAAACACTTGGGTTATTGTACTGATTCTCCGAATAGTAATGGCATCTCTAGACGCGTCGTGAGTGTTAAGATTTGAGATTTACCCCTACTTAAACGCTGCAGTATGCATCGCTGCTCAGAAAGGCAGTAGTAAGTCTTATACCACTCTAAACGATTAAAACCCTCTCCTTTTTAAAGGTATTCGTGTGTCTCTTTGCTCTGGTCAACAAGGGCAGCAATAGCCAAGTCGAGATGTGAGAAAAAAACTACTCTCCCACGAAAACTTCATAGTTCTTTAGCCTCGTGTCTTGCTTACGTACCCTGTGGAATCCCGGGTTATTAAGCTCAAGCTTAAACTTAAATAATACATCGTGCCGACGTAACACAATAATACCAAATAGTTATTCCTCGAAATAATTGAAACAGTTCTGGCTTACATATAAGATAAGTCAGAAGATTTGATTTTTTTTTTAATCTAAACAACTTTTTATGTACGTGAATATGATATTTTGTGTTTTAAATATTTCTATTTATTATGGTTTATGCGAGGTATGCCAGTTTGTGGTGTCAACAACGTTAAGTATTTTTTTATTGGCCTGACAATATTAATTTACTTTTCTATACTTGTGACTACGTTTTCAAAAGATATTTTAATTTACGTAGGTCATACAAATGTAGTACAAAAAAAGTCAAACGGTCATAAAAACTGTACCAACCATGAAAAAAAAGATTTATTATTCAAATTTTTTTAGCATTTTTTCAAGCAACTTCATACCATTTAATGAGATTACTTAAAAATGTTTATTGACATTTTGCCTAGTACTTACATGATGAACGCAAATGTATTTTTAGTGATCGAGAAAGCAGATAATTTTGAGTTTATCAGTACAGTTTCCTTTACCACAGAGTCTTATAAAAAGATTCACCTTACTGCCTTACCAGCTACTTTTCTACGGGAGTGAAGTAACCTTACTGATTTCCTAATTAGTAGTTGTTTTGATATAAGTATAATAAAAAATTACTATGTTAAGTTTTTTCTTTAATCTTATCTTTTTAAACGTAGATTACGGTAGGATTGCAAAATCGTTTACGGTTCAACACAAATTTCTGTAAAAATCAATAAAAATTTGTACGTTGTGATGAATTTCTTTGCTAAGTAGATACTAGGGTGGAAAACACTGGCTATCCTAGTAATTGTGTTATTGTATAACTGATAGTCCTTTTTTATAACGGCTGTGGCTCATCACTTCCTAATTTTTTTAAAGGTAGATCCTCTGTTCAAGCATGAAGACGTTGTTCTAAAAATCGTTTCAAGAGGCCTACTAAAGAGTATAGGTAATAACCATGAAAAACTAATCACAAACATTCGGAATGTTCCTAAGACTCAGATTAGATTAAGTAAGACTATTATGTACTTGACCTACGGAGGCTTTACGATCATAAGATAAGATGAGAACCTTCTCATGCATTAGTACAGTTAATAAAAGAAAAAAGTTTAAAAAATGAATATTAACAGAATAGTTAACAAAAATAATTGTTGAACATATAAAATTTAAAAAAGGCAGAAAAATAATAGCTAGAACATAGAACGAGAAACGGAGTTCTGAACGATATGATACCAATGATAACAATAGTAAAGTCCGGATAATAAGCTACTATAAATAATAAATCAAAACTATGTTGCGAAAGCTAAGGAATCGCAATAAGATCTGTACTAGACCAACATAATTAAATGCACGAGTTAATACAATGGCACAGCAGACCTACACTGGCTAGTAAAAGACATCTCAAAATCATACCATTATTTTCACTATGAGAGAAAGGAAAGACAAAGTGATTCTAAATTTTGTATCAGATAAAACTTCACTATCAATAGCAAGTTTATTAATAACTTTACTATCAGACTCGTATTTATTAAAATACCTATTTTTATTGAATTCTAACTAAATGAACGTTTTTTTATGTGTATTTGATTCGGATGTTAAATTTAACGCTGTAATATTAATGATTTCATAAATACTTTGAGAATTTTTTTATTTTACGTCAAGTTTTTGCTTTTATTTAATGTCGTATGTGTCAGATTATTTGACTAAATGAAAATCAAGTATCGTGAAAATAATAGTCAGCATTATTGGATTGATTTCTGAATTTAACTGTAAGCTTTTCATTTAACAATTTAACATACAATTGATTTAAAATATTAAAACTAGTTACTTATCAGGCCTTTATCTTTTATTACGTAACCATTATCTAATATGAGGTCGTATTTTCATATTATATTTAGTTGAATTAGAGATTTTTGTTAGATAGTTAATAATATTTTTTCTTGAGGATATGCAAATTATAAGTTAGCAAAAATATTAGGCCCACTTAATGCAAAAAGTGTCACTAAATTGACTGCGTATATATCACAAAATTTTTTCTGAGCTGGTAACTGTGTATATCTTATGCAGTTATTTGTATGCCATCAAATACCAATATATAAGCAATCAAAGTTAAAAATACTTCAAATTCTGTCAGTAATGTAATCAATCAATGCATTTATTATCATTTCATCTACATATTTTATTACTGAAATTAAATGTACATTAACTGACTTGTTATTTATTGCATATATGTCATAAAAGTTTGTCTAAGCTAGTAATTGCGTATATCATAAGCAGTTGACTGTATGCTACCAAATACCAATATACAGGTATTCAAAATACTTTGAATGCTGTCAGCAGTGCGCCTAATAAATGCATCAATTATTATTTTATGGATACATCTTATTACTGGGCTCAAATATACATTAACTAACTTCTTATTTGTTCATTAGTTAGAAAACTGTACACATGTTTGTACAGTTTCTAGAATCTTATATCAGTCAAGAGCCCTACTTATTGTATAAGTATAAAATAATCTATTAAATAATTTNTGTCAAAGCTTGCATTCTTTCCATTGGTAACTAAATATCATCGATCAAGTCATTTTGTTAATAACCTCTTACAACTCATTTATTCTAAATAAAGGTATCAGTTTATTTTGTATAAGCTTATTTTTATATAGGGAAAATATAGGATCTTTGTGAGCTAATAATAACGATATAGATAACATCAATGGTAAAATTAGGATACATTTTGTTATATTTTATGAAACTGATCCTATACATACAATTTTTACCATCATATGTTAGCTTATGTTGCTACACATCGTACGTAAATAAATATATGTTTGTGTGTGTCATAAACAGGTCCTTTACGTGTATATATGAACGTGATATGTATCTTCCTACATTGTAATGTTCTTTTGGTGGAGCTGTCTACATCCGACCACCGAGTTTTTTGCCACACTCCCACCGCCCCTACGAAATAAGGGAAAATTCTTTAATTTTCATTCTTATTTGTATAGACTTCATTTGTTCTTAAGCCCCACGAATCGCCCCCACCAATTGTTAGAAGCCATACTGCCCCCCCTCCACCACCCCCGGCATACCATCTACCCTTCACATCTTTAGAAAATTTAATATTCGTAAATAAAATATGATTTTACACCAAAAATAATATTAAATTAATTTGAAATCGTTCAACAACAATCATTTGCTAATGTACTTGATCAAAATAAAAAATCTATGGATATAATCAGCATATAAGGAAGGACTAAAATTTCGCCCGTTAAGTCTGTATGAACTCGTCTGTATCATAGCGCCAATAGTTTATTTTACCTTGGTTTTTGTTGATCGTTTTGACATAAGAAAACCCTGTTGTATTTTTTTGATTTCTCTATATTTTTTATGTAAGTATTTGTAATTTTCAGCTATTAAACCTTTTTTACTGTGTAAAAAAACTTAATTTATTCATGGAGGAATGGCGCACTGAGTGCGCAAGGGAGTGAAGCCCCATTACTATTTAAATACCTATATTTGATAGTAATTTTTGTAAAGAATTCCACACAAGCCCCCTACAATATCCCACAGACCCTGTTGACCCCCTACTGACCCCTCAGAACAAGGTAACACCACCCCCCGCAGAATTTTTCTGGATACCCCTCATCAACCCTCCTCACCACTTTTGTGGAATCTTACTAATACTCTACTAAATTTTACAGACCTCCACACCTACTAACACATATACATGTATACATATTATTTTATTAACAAACAACATGTACATAATAGTTGGACTACGCCCCTCTACGCGCTTTGCATGCCACATTTACTTTTACAATTATTTACTATATCATGCTTCTTTAGGTGATAAAAAATATATTTACTCTAAAAATGTATTTGTGCAATGTCAGATAGGTCCTGTTTGTAACACGTTCAATGATAAGAAACTAATTGTATGTGTCTCTCATTTTTATAACTTTTCCAGAACCTGATACTCATTCTGAATCGAGCATTCTTCAATCCTATTCTCCACCTACGTTTAAAGATACACTAAGTATGACGAATTCTCGCCCCTTCATAAAAATTCTAGTGAGTATCAGCAAACAGTTTTCAAATCAACCTTCCACTTTTAGCTTTAAAACACGTTTTTATTTTTTTAACTTTTGAAATAAGACTTTCATAATTTCATCCTATTCTACTGGAAATACAAATAATGACAAAACTTTCTCTAAAACATACATACATTTATTATACAATCGTTCATCCTATTTACGATGTTTCCAACTTCAATTGTAGTATTTGTGTGAGTACGAGAATTCACTTGTCAATCTGTTCAGGTGAATAAACAATGAAAACCCAGAAGTTATTGAATGTGTTCTTTATCATCGTTGTTGCATCTTTTCGTCAGATATATTTCCTGACCTCATCAGGCTGTTTACTTCGCGGGAGCGAATCGTCGAACCAAATGTATACATTTAACAACATAATAAGTTATAATAAAATGACTTGACTCGTTCTGTAAGTTGGCTCATAACAATGAGCCCCCCTAGTGGTGTAATACTTCTGCAGTTTGTATTATAGTATAATAAGTGGTGTTTAAATATATATGTATATATTTGTATTAAGTTATACAAAAACAACTCAAAAATTAAAATTTCTTACATAGATTATCGCCGATATTACTACAGAAAAAGTCTAGTGCACTAAAAACCTTATACTTACGTATAACTTAAGATAAAATAATAAATTTATTTATAATTCTACTTGGAGTTGTATAAATAAATAAATTAATAATTTCTCCTAGGTATAAGGTCCATCTCTTCGTGTCCTAGGCGTAGCACAGTGCGGCCAAAAGTCCTAAAAAATAAGTTTCTATTTAAGGTTTTTTCACCCTTGAGTTGGCTGCACTGTCATGTTAATACACTGAGAACGGTTGTACAGGTGAAAAATTTTATGTAATAAAGAAAATCAAATAAGACCAAATGGAATCCACTTCTGAAGGTGAGTAGAACATGTAATAAAAGTACTAATTATCAATTGTTAAGTAGTGAATTAGGGAAAACATAAACAATAGTGTCATTTTTTCACATAATTTTTCCGAAAATTAGACTTTTCAAATGATACTGCATTGAAACGCTGCCAAACGCTGCTTTAAAACCTTATTGAAATGATAATTAAACATATATCATCTACCAAATAAAACAAGATTCAGCTGCCAAGAGCTGCCTATTCATCTTTTATGCCCTTTTTTCGAAATCAAATTGATAGAGAGCGAGAGAGAGAGAGAGAGAGAGAGAGAGAAACGAAATATACACATGGTGCGTTTCTCTTTTATCTGAGGCTGCTACCTATAGTTTACTGTGATGGAAAATGGGAGAGTATGTGCGTGTACATGAGTATGTATATGTGAGTGAGTATTTATTCGTGTGTATGGGTGCGAGCGGCGCGCACGCAGCAGGCATCTCAAACGTCGCACCAAAGCCTATTTAAAAGTGTGCTATATAGATATACTTTAACGTTAGGGTTCGGTGCGATGTTTGAGCTCGCTGGCGCGCAGCAGTGTTTTCTTCTTATTCTTCTTCTTCTTCTTCCTCTTTTTTCTTAAACGTAGGCGCGCGCTCTTTTTAAAATGAATGCTACGAGATTTTCGTAATTAGTAACTTTTTAAAAAATATTTATAACATTTTAAGTGCCAAGGCTTTGTTTATTAATTTGTTAAAATACTTAATTATTGAAGAAATTGAAAGATCGCGAAAGACACAAATAAGGTTTATATGTTGCAAAAAAAAAAATTTCAAGTTGTAAATTGCGTTTCATTTTATTATACATATTTAAAATCTTATTCAAAATCTTATTTAAATTTTATGTATTTCAGGTTGCAGTACTCCCAATAAAGACCACTTCACAAGACTAAAATTTTACTATTTAGATAAAAACATTTTAAAGGATGACGTTACGCAAATTTTCGAAAAAGTTAAAGAATATTTGACCGAAAGTACAGGGTCCGAGTATTTTTTATCAGACGATGAGAAAAAGGAAATGTATGATCTAGTATTAAAGATAAAAGCAAGATGGAGTGCAAGCAATAGAACTGAAAGCGTCTTTTTGAAAAGAAATAATGATTGGCTGCAAAAAAGGTTGAATTAAAGAAAAACAAACAAACTAAAAAAAAAGATGAAAAAGAAAAACCAACTGTATCTGGTAGACCAACACGCAGTTTTTCTGAGTCATCTGACAGAACTAAACGTAGGAAAACTGAGGAATTAAGAAAATCTGTGTCCATTGAAGTGCTACTACATTCTGCAACTAGCAAATTACGGTTGGAAGGTAAGACGGACTTTGTCAAAGTCATTCATGACATTGCAGAAGGAAGTCCTACGAAGGCTTTAAAATACAGAAGATCTATTAAATTGTCAGATACAAATTTACCTTTTTCATATGACGAAGCATTGTCTTTATTCGTTGAAATTGGATTTTCGCAGGGTCAATATCAAAAGTTGCGCAATGCACATTTACAAAAAAAATCCAAGATGCTCCCTTCGTATGAACAAATACAAAAAGCCAAAATTCAGTGTTACCCTACATCAGGTCTATCTTTTACAGACAGTGTAGCTGAAGTGAAATTATAACCTCTTTTGGATCACACGATTGATCGTATTATACTCTGTCAAACGGAAGTTCTTCAATATTTATCGGAAGAACAACTTCAAAATTTAACTTTAATTGTCAAGTGGGGTTGCGATGGAAGTTCGGGACATAGTGAATACAAGCATAAGATTGATGAAAACAGTGCCAGTGATAAGAGCATTTTTTTTACGTCTTGCGTCCCTTTGCAACTTGTGTGTAAAAACACTACAAATACGAAAACCACTGTTGTCTGGAAGAATCCAAGGCCGTCATCTCCTAGATATTGTCGGCCTATTAAGATAGAATGTGCAAAGGAAACAGTAAATCAGATAAAAGAATTAACCAATAATGTAGAACAGCAGGTAAATAATTTAATTCCGTTTGTTACTGCGGTTTGCGGAAAAGCTGTGTGTGTACGTTAGTTTGTAACTCATTGACTGGCACAAGTTCCGCAATGCGCTGTTACATATCCAATTGCACATCTAAGGAGTTCAACAATGTAGAAAAGATGTTGCAAAAAGAAGTTTGTTCCGACAATTTAAAATTCGGCTTATCGTCTCTACATTGTTGGATTCGTTGCTTCGAATTTTTATTACATTTATCCTATAAATTGGAAATCAAAAAATGGCAAGCTAGATCAACTAAGAATAAGGAATCAGTTAAAAAAAGAAAAACAGCAATCCAAATGGCATTTAAAAAACAATTGGGTTTGAACGTTGACAAACCAAAACAAGGTAGTGGAACTTCTAACGATGGCAACACAGCACGATTATTTTTCGAACATCATGGGCAATCTGCTTAAATTCTTGGAATAGATAAAGATATTATTTATCGGTTTTACGTCATATTACAAGCAATTTCATGTGGATATGAAATCGATGTGAACAAATTTAAGCAGTATTGCAAAGAATTATCTGAAAGTATCGTACATGCAAATGATTGGTATTACATGCCTACCTTAGTGCAGAAACTTCTAATTTACGGCTCAGACATCGTTAAACAATCAATACTACCCATAGGGCAAATGTCCGAGGATGTCCAAGAGGCATGTCATAATTTTTTTAACATTTACCGCGTTGCTTATGCAAGAAAAAACTATCGGCAAAAAACGGAGGACGTTTTCAAAAGATTTCTGATTTCATCCGATCCTTATATTTCTACTTGCCAAAAATTACCAGTAAAACCACTTGAGTCTTTATCACCTGATACAATCAATTTATTATCAGCTACATCTGTACATAACGAAGAACAAGAGCCGGAAAGTTTGAACTGTTCCTCTGCTTCAGAGTCAGAAGCAGACGTAGATGTGGATTCCTACGAAACCAATTTTTTATTATAACATAATTGACCTACCAATTATTTGTAATTACATATTTTTTGTATATTTTTATGCTCAATAGAAATAAAGATTGTTATAACAATATTCAAAAATATTTCTTTTCTTATGACTTAAAAACTCAAACCACGAATTTTCTTCGAGTACAATTTTTTCTTCAAAGCATTAGCACAAAATATTTCGGAATACAATTTTTAAAATATCTATTCTTGTAACTGTAAATGTTGTGAATTTACAAAATCCCTATTTTACAATCAACTTTTATTTAAAATAAACAAAAATACATGTTTTACATTCTACAACGTATACATACAGATCGTTTTTTTAATTTCTCCATTTTTAGCTGTATTAGGTGTGGCGATTTCGTAATCCTGACAATGGATTCGTAATCAGTGACCTCAAAAACCCCCGAGTACAAGATTTTAGGTCGATCGTTAAAGTTTTTGAGTTTTGGCCGCAAAGTGCCTTGCTTACCCGAAAATTTCGAGCTGAAGCTGACTTCTAGCACTCAAAATTATTGAGATACGAGTGCGAGCAAAAAAGTAAATAATCTTTCGAGACGAAATATTATTTTCGGTAGCCTACAAGCTTAGCCTATGAAATCGGAATTTTATTGGCAGCGAGCGCTGATCTACAGCGCAAATAGTATATTCAGCGTGTATACACTGGTATACATATATACACGGCTGTTGGCTTCTCGCGGCTCGTAGTGCAACAAGCACTTAGTGTCAGTAGTGTACTTGTTCAAGATATACCATACATAACCGTATTTTACATTGCATCACACACGTACACACACACAAGGAGAGAGTTGAGAGGATTTGTATTTTTTACAGCAAACAGCTTTTAAAGCAAAGCAAACAGCAATTAAATATCTAATTTAAGGCCCGAAGATATGCAAATAGGCAGAAAGTTGCGTCCAGCTAATGTCTCGAAAGAAATTCTCCCTACCTATATCAGCTCTTCACGCTCACTGAATAATTGTCAGAGAAAGCTTTGAGGAATATCTTATATGGCTAAAGCACGTATTGAAATGTGTTCGTGATGCAGGACTCACCCACATAGGGCCAATTTCATAGACGACTGATTTCATAGGCGACGTGAAAGTTTCACCCGTGAAATCGAT